CCCCAAAACCCCAAAACCCCAAAACCCCAAAACCCCTTTAGTAATTTAGCGATTGAAAATGGTTAAAATTTGGAAGTTTCTTTTTGAGGAGTAAAGTATTTGATCATATCATTCCTCCTCACAATGTTCGGACCATATTTCCTTAAGTTCTTTATTTTCTTTAATTTTGGTGTTTTTCCAAGCCCAATAGAGTTTATCTTGCTACCATTCTGATTGTAGCTTACAACTTTGGGGATACTTTCCATACTTGCAGGATGGTTAAAAGAGTATTGAGCTTGATTTAAATTCATTACTGCTTTTACTCCAGACGACCTGTTCTTATAGCCTGGAACAGAAGAAATATTACCCACATAAGTATCATAGACTCTATCGTATTTATCTTTGAAAGATTTTTCAGAGATATCAGTAGCCTTGGAATCCTTCCTGTCGTTAAATGTGAATCTTGGATCTTGCTCATTTCTAGAATAATCAGAGTATTTTTACTTCATCAATCTTTCTTTGGAATCCTCAACATGAATGTATCTTTGGCCTAATCTCTCTTCGCTTTTAGAGTTTTTAATTTCATTCTCATGGCTTCTCCTCGGTGTCCTTCTCCCTTCATTCCTTTTCTTCTTATAGAGAGGAGGATGAAGTTTTCCTAAATATTCATGGTTGTTGATAATAACAATCTGATCCAATGTAGGGGCATTTGGACTCTTAAATTTTTGCTAAAGTGTCAGACTTGATAGATCTACCTTATTTTGTGGCTTTGAGATCATGGATTCTTGAAATTTAGGAGAGTTATCATCCTCATTAGTTCCAACAATTCCTTTCAGCCCGTAAAAATGATCATCTTGCAAGTTTCTGTTTGACTTTTTAGTGTGGCTAATAGCTCCTTTCCGATTCTCTCTTTTCAATTTCCTTACTAGTGTAGATTTATTATGCTGACATCTTTCCTTATAGTCATTGAATTTCTTCTTCAGCCTTAAATTCTCTGAAGATAGTATTTTAGATTGCTTTGTAGCACTTCCTAGCATATCTTTAAGTATCTTGATCTCCTCTTTCTAAAAATTAGCTTGCCGGTTACCTTCTTGGAGAGTTTAGTTTTCAGATCCTTTATCACAACTTGCTGCAAACCTTTGATCTTCTGTTCATCTTTGAAAGCTTTCTTTTTCATTTCTGCTCTGAGGTCCATGAGATGCTTGATATCTTTATTAAGTTCCTCTATTTCATCAGCTTTCACTTTATTTTCATTCTCAAGGAACTGCATTGTATCTGTCATGCTATCTATTTGAGCATTAAGCTGCTTGTTCTCTTGAATAATTTCTTCAGTATTATGGGCTTTCGAATTCAGCTGGGCTATCGTCTATATATTAGGGATGCCTCTCTACCGAATTTAAGGTGTTAATCTGATCATTCTGTTGATCTGCTAACTGCTCGAGTTCATTTTTGAAGTCAAGTAAAGTCCCAATATCATTCTTTAAACTCTTATTCTCTGTTATAAGAGTAGATACCCTTTTGTTTAATCCTTCTATTATTTTCTTACTATCTAGAGAAATATTGGAAGATGGCGAATGATTTTTAGCCACATTTTCCTAGATTATTTGTTTAAAAAACACCCTTACAAGGCTTTGATCTCCTTCTTTTGTATAAGTCTCACTTGGAGGAAGGCTATTAGAGGACTGACTAGTGAGTCTTTTAACCTCATTATTTCTTTTTTCAAGTAAATCGTGGAAAATTTGGATCTTGTTCGCAAAAGTTTCTTTCATCTAGAGATTAAATTCTGGTTACTTTTTCGATATCTGATTCTTTATGCTCAAGTTCTTTTCTGAGCGTTAATATAGATTCCTCCTGTTGACTTATATCTTATCTTTTAATGTAACCTCAGTGGGTGCATTTTCATGCTCAGCATTGTCTCAATCACATGCGATAATATTAAATTTAATCTCTAAGGCTTCTTCCCTTTCAGTCTCTATAGTCTTGATCTCTACTGAGTCCTCAACTGCTGTATCTACTCTGTTAGCCACTTTCTCGTTTACCTTTGAGTTTCTGGTTGCTTTGGTAGGAATTTGAATTACGATCAAGCGAAGTCTCTTTATCTCCTTTCTAAAATAAACAATATGAGAATGGATTTTGGAATAACAAGAAGGAAAATTGAGAAGGATTCGGAGTCAGTCTTCTCTTAAAATTCAGCATTTTTGGAAGAGTTATTGATTCTGAGGTGAGATTTTGAGGGTTTTAGTGTTAAGGCTTAGAGATAAGAGCAAATTTAGTACACAAAAGGAATGATTAGATGAGAGGTTGGCTAAAATACGCTAATTGGATTTATAAAAGTTATGCAATTCGTGAATAAATGCTGAGATATTGATGAATATAAATTAAAAATCTTTAAAATATCACAGAGCTTTACCAAAAGTTGCAATATTAATGACTCCACCATTTAATCAAAATTTGAGTTGTTGAAGAATAAATTCTTGCCAAGATTGAAGAAAAGATATTGATTTTCCTCTCTAAACATCTTTCAAAGACTTTTATGTATATCCGATAGCCTCATATTATAGATAAAGCTATCCAATCGACCTCTCAAATGTGATGGATCCTGATGGTTCTCTTCTTTAGATTAGGACTTACCCTCCCATTCTTTTCATCATTGTTACTTGATTGTGAATGATCCTTTAACAACAATTAGAAATTAAGAAAGCTTTGAATAAAACTATGAAATCAAGCAAAACCCTTTAACTTAAACTGGAGTAAGATTATTATTGAAGCAATATTTCTAAACTAACCCCACAAACTTATTCATCTTGATCTAATCTGAAGAAAAATAGCAGATTTCTAAAACAAGATATCCTCCAATCGATTAGCATATAACTTCTATTAACTTTGTTATTCTTGTCCATTATTATCTATATTTATTTTATTTCAGATTTCTTGCTATAATTTTCCTCTACCCAAGTATGCTTCAAGTACCAGTACTTTGGCCTGAACGATCTCCTACTCAGAAATTTGGATGAAACTATTTAGCTACCGATTGCATGAATGTTTGTGTTAGTCTCTGTCTATTAATTTTATAAAGGGTCTGGGGTTTTGGGGTTTTGGGGTTTTGGGGTTTTGGGG